GTTTTTGCCATCTATTTCCAAAGCAATGATGTGAAATTATGAATCCTTGCAAGAATGGAGCTGGCAGTCACCAGCGATCCCTGAAAAAGGTGAAGTATTAATATGCTTGCTTTTTTTTAGATAATCCATTATATACCATTCAGTTTACTCTAGTTAAACAATTCGCTATCGACTTTGTCTCCCTTTATAATATGGACTTTGTTTTTTTTTCTAAAACACACCATTGGGTGGATATTTTTCACAGAATACCTAAAAATACCCTTCAATGCTTACAAGAGGTTACAATTGATTGACCTACTATAAGTTTTTAAAAAATATGATTTTTTTATGTAGCCTACTTACATAAAATGGAAGTGTGTATATTTCAAGATTTTTATTTTATATGTATTAATTTAAAAAAAATATCATTCGTATTTTATATGCTAATAGAGTTTTTTTATGTACATAGTATTCACATGCTATATAATTTATTTTGATGCGGCAATCTTTTATGTATGTGATTCCTCCTTCATAGTTATATAAAAATAGTTTTCTAAAAAAATATGAAAGATAATTTTGAAATATACACACAAACTTAAATATTTTGTAAGAAGGCTAAGGACACGAAACTTTCATATATTTTTTTAAAAAACCTTCTAGTAGGTCAAACAGTTGTCAACTCTTGTATGAATTGAAGGACATTTTAGAAATTTCTTAAAAATTATTCACCCCAATGGCATATTGTAGGAAAACTAATAATAAATTTAGTAGTACATTATAGAGGAAGACAAATTCGATGATAAATTGTTAAAATATAATAAAGTGTCATAACTAATCAGAGGGGAATCTTTTTCGGTTTTTGATAGGGTGCCAGACCGTAAAACTATTTGTAGAAAAAGTGGACTAGTAGTTGGTACCATCTTGGACCAAACAAATAAAAATGTCCAGAGATGCCACTGTCAGGATTAATTACATATACTAGTAAAATGTCATTACCATTTCAAATATTAATCAAGAATTAATCTTCCTATTAAATGTCATTACCATTTCAAATATTAATCCAGCTAACAAACTTTGTTCAGTTCTGTTCATTACATACTATTGAGTGTACAAACTTTGAACTTTAATTTACCTATGTATTCTACTAAAAAAAATACTCCCTCCGTTTCATATTATAAGTTGTTTGATTTTTTCTTAGTTAAAATTCTTTAGGTTTGACCAAGTTTATAAAAAAATTAGTAGTAACATTTATAACCCTAAATTAGTTTCATTAAATTTAACATTGAATTTATTTTGATAATATGTTTGTTTTATATTAAAAATATTAGTATTTCTTTTATAAACTTATTAAACTTGAAGAAGTTTGACTAAGAGAAAAATCTATCGATTTATAATATAAAACGGGGAAGAACTCCCCCATCTATAAAAGTTACACCTATTTCACATTTAAGTTTTTCCAAATAAATTGTCCCTATTTGTAGTCCTTATGTATTCAAGACTTAAATAAAGAGATAAATTAATGTTTTATTAGAACCCAAGGAGTCATCTAAATACTCATCGGTTGTATGCTTGCATTCACTTCTTGATTTTATAAATCAAAGGTGATTTAATTTCTTCTTGATCTTGGTTAAAAGTAATATGTGTAACTTTTGTGGGTGAAGGCAGTATCTCTGTATTATTAATGCAAGGTAAGGGCATGCATGCAGTTTCTTACTGCATTTGTATATGCTGCAACCTCGAAATAATATGGACACAGATGGCCCAGAAAACAACACACATGCATGGCCGGCGAACATCAAAGTCGCCAACTACTCAGGTTTGACCCCTGCATTGCACAGACAGGCTAGCTCTCAACGCTGGCGGCTCGCACCTCACCTCTTCACACATTAGCTTTTCCCAAATCCAAGCTGTTCTAGGCTAGCTAGCTCTGGCTACTTCTTCTCTTCCCATGAAATTATTAACGACTTTGACACATGCATGTGCGTACTATATACCTCTAATTAAACAATTCATAACATTGTATATATATCTGCTCACATATATATGGAGATTCGATCATGATAACAGTCGTTTTCCAGGGACCTATTTTAAACTCTCCGGAGCATCTCGATTGTTAAATGTGATTTCAAATAGTTAATTAATAAAAAAATCTGGAAAATTAGGTAATGTGGGTTATAGTGACATATAAGTATGCAAGGTTAAATACGATCTATACGCCTTTTTTTTATCCAAATTGCTTGTGTTTAGTTTGAATTTGACCTGGCATGTTTTTACCTGTTAGAGGCACATGTGACAATATATAATATGCCTAGTCTAGCTAGTTTTTTTTTAAAAAAAAATTTACATAAATGTTTAGAGAGACTATATATACAAAAAAAACAAGGGCATATGGACTTGAGGGTTTAAAATCCACTTCCTTTACCACCTTTTGGGCTCAAATATGCTATGATTATCGAGCGTGCACCAGTGAAACCAAGTGTCGATGGCGATTCTGTGTTTGCCTTCATAGCTTTGTTTGCGCGCAATTTTTTCAGACATTGACTGTGCTTATGGTGGGACGATGCACACAGGACTGGACAAGGAGACATGCAAAGTCTTTGACACATAAGTAATTTTGGTGTCTTGGAATCTTGGATGCTTTGAAAGGAACGAAAAGCGCACGTATTTGACATTATAAGCGGAATGGTGATGGATGTTGTCGAGGCGGTGTCTGAGGAGTACTGGATATGGCAAGTTGCTAGTCTAGCGGGTCCACTCCCTACTATAGAGTAATTGCGGTGTTTGATGGGGAAAGTATAGTTTATTGATAGAATGCCGCATTACTAGAATCTTTTTTTCCCTATAGTGACCACACCACAAGTTGCCGATGGCCCCTTAGCCAAGAATGACTGACGGTTTTGTATATCTCCCCATCACAAATGCTACTGCTTTCGGGATGTATGTCTTCATAGTTGTAGCTCTCACACCTCATATGAAAAATGCTGAGCTCCAAAATCATAATTGTAGCGTAACAATGTAAAATTTTTCCTTCCATGTAAATAAAGTTTGGCTAGCGTTCCTCCGCCAGACCGGCGGAAAAAAGTTTCGACATTGACTCTTGGATCGGGCATTAGTGTCTTGTCATGCTATCATAGGATGCATGGTTCTATTGTTGGGATACGCGTAGGCTACGATAGCATTAATCAAAATTTTATATCGCATAAACCAGGAACCATGCAAGTATTAGATCATAGATCGTTACCACTCGACGCGCTGCGCAGCGGAAGAAGATGCTAAGAAATCGAAGGAACTCTCGCGAAGTAGCGTGCGTCGATATAGAGGAAGTAGTCGATCGCACCGGCTCGACCTTCTCCTCCTCGTGCGTTCTCCTCGCCGTACTCCCACGCCGATCAGCACCGCAAACCAGCGGCGCCTCTATCGGTATCCACACGAACAGGGACGGAACGCCACGCGCAGATGTGCTAGCACCCGCGCGCGGCTAGGGTTTTGCTCGAGGTGGGATCGGTGACGGCTAGGGTTTCTCACGTGATACAATACCTCCACCGGTCATACCCCTCACGAATATATAGGATCCATCACTCGGGCCTCCAAGGCCCGTAGGACTCCTATTCGGATCCCTATATGAATTAAGCTCATATTGTATCTCCATCCAATCCCCTTATTCCGGCCCATTAAGCGTGCGACCCTGTAGGTTCATGTATACTCGGCTGTAATCCGAAAACCCCTTTTCGGTCCACGCGTCAACAGCGGCCCCTAACAGAACGTATTGACCCACCGGGCATACATAAAGATCATATCGGCTGAATCTCTAGTGTATACTTGTATGAACCCCTTTGCCTCACGATATCGATTAAGCTCAAGGCTAGATATGTGCCATCCTCTAATAGCTCAATCATTCACTTGAACCTGTTGATAGATTATATAACTTGTGATTGACTCCTCAATCACCTTTGGCATGGCTATGCACTTCTATAATCTACAACATCGAGGGGCCCAGAGATATCTCTCCATAGGTGGGGTAAATCTCATCTTGATTATTCATATCCTATTACATGTTTCATAGCATACCCGAAAACTACTTTTATAACTACCCAATTACGGAGTTAGCATTTAGCAGTCCCTAAGTAAGCTACTACACATGTTGGGAACCATGATAATCTCAAGTCTAAGGATTCAACACTAACACTAAATAAGATCACTGATGACACAACACATATGGTTCTTGCAGTGTCTCATGTTGGATCTATCCAACAACATGTTCACTAACATGTACCCACATTATTAATTTGGTATCTCTATACCATGATCCATGAGACATGATCATCAATTAATACATGTGCTGATCATCTAAACATATTTGTTCCACATATGATATTTGATCAGGGATCCTTTAGAAATAGCAACACATAACATAAAGAGTCTCATAAAAGAATCACACATTCATTAACCAATAATTAGTTTATCTATTTTAAGGAGCAAAGTCGGATAAATATGTAAACATAGTGTGTGATATAATCATCTCTATGATTGCCTCTAGGGCATATCACTAACATCTGTGACTACGGACATGTATGGTATAGGGTTCTAACTCTTAAATTTACTCTAGGAGCGAAGTCTGGAGTGAAAATATAGCTAGAGTCTATATATAGTTTTTTAGCAATGATGAATGCATTGTAATTTGCAAAGCAGCAGCACCCATGCATCATATCGAAAACAAAAGGAACAGAAAAGAAAACAACAATAACAGTATCCATCACATCCAAAACAAAAGGAACAGAAAATAAACAAACACCGAAAACTCAACAGAAAAAGCTGTATGTTACTGCCGTAGCTTTATGACGATAAAGAATCACGCTTACGTGAGTGTGCAGAGGACGACGTCGTGGTTGCAGTGGTGATCAGTGAAGCAAAGAAGAATATGGAAACGCAGTAGCCCGCCGCGACAGCGACCCACCAACCGACGGCTGCCGAGACGAGACGAACTAGCGCTAAGCCTATAAAATCGCATCAACCCACACGAGCTACCTATCCATCGTCCTAGCTATCTCACGTAGTCTCCCTCTCCCGGTCTTCGCGACGACGCTAGCTTTACACGTTCGTGATAATGGCGGCGCTGCTGCTGCTGGCGGCGGCGATGGTGGTGGTGGTGTTCGCGCACGCGGCGGCGGCGCAGCGGTACAATGCTATCTACAGCTTCGGCGACTCCATCTCCGACACCGGCAACCTCTGCGTCGGCGGCTGCCCGTCGTGGCTCACCACCGGCCAGCCCCCCTACGGCAAGACCTTCTTCGGCCGCCCCACCGGCCGCTGCTCCGACGGCCGCGTCGTCGTCGACTTCCTCGGTAGGACGACGTCCTGATCGATCGATCGATCGAGCTAGTAGTGGAGAAAATGACATGTGAATTTCATGCATATATGCAGCTGAGCACTTTGGGCTGCCGCTGCCGCCGGCGTCGAAGGGCGGCGGCGACTTCAAGAAGGGGGCGAACATGGCGATCATCGGCGCCACCTCCATGGACGCCGCCTTCTTCAAGTCCATCGGCCTCAGCGACAAGATTTGGAACAATGGCCCCCTCGACACCCAGATCCAGTGGTTCCGTCAGCTCCTCCCCTCCGTCTGCGGCAACGGTAACTAACTAATTATTCAACATCTTATTATTTACCACAGTAACTACCACTGTAATTAATGATCCAATTCATTGATTAGTCGTCTCACCAACAACTACCAGTATATATGTGCATGTGGAGTAATTAATTAATTAATTAATTAACGGACGAATTGATGGATCGATCGGATCACGGGTGTGTGTAGATTGCAGGAGCTACCTGTCCAAGTCGCTGTTCGTGGTGGGCGAGTTCGGCGGCAACGACTACAACGCGCCGCTCTTCGCCGGCCGCGCCATGACGGAGGTCAGGGACTACGTGCCACAGGTCGTCAGCAAGATCATCCGTGGCCTCGAGGTAACTAACCAACTAACCTGATCATTTCACGCTCTCCACCTGATCAACTCACGAGAGTTGGATCACGGATGACTCCAAAATGGAAAAAAAAACAAATTGTCCGCCAAACAGTCTATTTCCTCCTTCCTACAGTATCAGATTAATTTCACACAAACTATTTTTTTATATAGAAATTGCCCTATAATATCAAATATATCTTTTTTCAAGTTAATTTGTAATAATTAAAACTCAATTGATCATTCGCTAATGGCTTTCCTGTTTTAAATGCCCTTACGTACTTAATCTTAATCTTTATCTATCTTAAATTAAGCCTAAATTACTATATTTTAGGATAGATAAAGTACTTTTTTTATCGTAACTCGTATAGGCAACAAAACAATCATGTAAATTTTGCGCGCGACTTGTGAACAGACATTGATCAGGATGGGCGCGGTGGACGTGGTGGTGCCAGGGGTTCTACCCATCGGGTGCTTCCCGATCTACCTGACGCTCTATGGCACATCCAACGGTGCAGACTACGATCGCAATGGTTGCCTCAAGAGCTACAATAGCCTCTCCTCCTACCACAACACGTTGCTCAAGAGAAGCCTCTCCAACCTCCAGAGGACGTACCCACATGCCAGGGTCATGTACGCTGATTTCTACTCGCAGGTCACTGCTATGGTCCGCTCTCCCCAAAACTTCGGTGAGTTGATCATACTATTTCTCATCTCATAACCGCACTAAAACATACTACCTCCGTTTGATAAAAAAAACTGTATTTTTGATTATGCACCTGGACAGATCAATATGTGATTTTTTAGAACGGCGCATTATATTAGTAAATCTTGACTTACCTGTCGTTTTCTTGTTTATTTGAGGGTCATGGACTTATCAATGATATGAAACCTATCGCTATTTTTTCTGTTAGGCTTGATTTTTTTTTTTTTTGCAAAATGGAATTTAATCCAGCCTTGTTATGGTTGATAGGAGATAACCGTTTTATAAAATTTTACAAGCTATTTCGTAGGAACTAGGAAGCATAATATTTAGATCAGCCTATAAATTCTATTTTGTATAGTAGTTAACAGATCAGCCCTGAACATTACTGCCCAGAGCTGCAAGGCACCATCGTTGTCCGGTAGCACACATCACCCTTTTATGTGCTAAAAATCAAAAGCGTCCCAGAATCCAGTTGCCGTGACAGAGTTGAAGTTTTCAGTGGTCACGGCATGTTTAGTGTAGGTTAGCTAGGGGTACATGGCCCACACGTCAGATCTAGGTAAAGGATATATCCAAAGGTTGTTAGAGATAAGTATAAATTAATACACTGTACGTGCATAACAACAAGCTTTACATCTCCAAATAGTCCAATTACTTGTTGGATTCTTAGCTCACTTGTCCTGTTAGTGTGGCAAATGATTTGTGCCTTCCCTGTGTGGACCATTCATGACCTCTGTCCATATACTAGCTAGTACAGTATAATTTAGGAATTGATACCTTGTAATCCAATTGGAATGGCATCTATCATACTATATCAAATACTCCCTCCGTTTTAAAATGTTTGACACCGTTGACTTTTTAGCACGTGTTTGACCGTTCGTCTTATTAAAAAAATTTGTGAAATATGTAAAACTATATGTGTACATGAAAGTATATTTAACAATGAATCAAATGATATGAAAAGAATAAATAATTATTTAAATAAGACGAATGGTTAAACACGTATTAAAAAGTCAACGGTGTCAAATATTTTGAAATGGAGGGAGTATTATGAAATAATAACAACTGGCATGATTTATGTAATACTAGTGCTAAAGCATGCATGCATGTATCACAGCTAGCTAGCTCTTCTTTGCATGCGACATCGTCCAATTGAAAACAAAGATACCCTTTGGCCAAAAGCTCATGGCCACAAATTAAAACAAAACAAAGGAACATGTTCATATCTTTGCATGATCTTGAAAGTTCAAACCCTCTCAGCCTTGCTCTGCTTGCACCACTGCAAAAGAACAGAGCACACATTACAAAGCAAACCGAAAAAACGACAAAAAAAAAAAACAACGGCACTATTTGAAACATAGAAATATTATTTTATCAAAGATAGATTTAAAACCGAGCCTCTACATCTAAACTAGATATACACAGCCAAATAAATAATGCAAAAATCTGACACTACATATTTCTGCCATTGTAAAACTATTTCTAGTGAAACATCCGAAACACGTATATATGACATCAATTTCTAAGATAAGTGAAAAATTGTTTACATCTCCGGTATCCACCGATCAATATATTTATTTGGAGAGTGATATTGGTTGCTCACCTTGTTAATATAATATGGCAGGGCTGAAATACGGGCTGAAGGTGTGCTGCGGGGCGGGAGGGCAGGGGACGTACAACTACAACAACAAAGCGCGGTGCGGCATGTCCGGGTCCAGCGCCTGCGCCGACCCGGCCAACTACCTCATCTGGGACGGCATCCACCTTACCGAGGCCGCCTACCGCTCCATCGCCGATGGCTGGCTCAAGGGCCCCTACTGCAACCCTCCCATCCTCCACTGATTTATTAATCCTACATGTATAATATCTGCAGAGAGATGAGATGTGACCCAATTAATTGTGCACTGTTTGCTTAATTAGGCCGAAGTGTGTGTTTGTATTTGTGTGTGGGTTAATTAATATTTGTTCATGGGGTTTACTTAATTAGAGTTTGGTTGTGATTTGGAGAGGGTGATTTTAAGCCTGATGATGTATTTAGTTGGGGATCGAATCAAACTGATCCAAGTGAATAATGAAGCTCAAACAAGGGCTTTTCCATTTTAGTTTCACAAGTTGTTATGGGCTGGCTCTCAATGAGGTCCTGAGGGGCTTTCGTTTGCGTGGCCTTGCAACTGCAATTCCGGCCCCTCTAGTCGGAACTTTACGGGCCAAATTTTGTAACCCTTTTGTAGTAGTAGAGCCAGAAATGCTAAAAAGAATTTGGTCGAAAGGAGCCACTATAACACTATTGTTAGTTTTCTTTTTCAAAATTTCCTGAATCTATAGTAAATCCCTCCTTCCTCCTAACAAAGCCACTGCCTCCCATCTTTCTCTAAGAAAACCGCATAGAACCAAACAACCGTAAAAAAACCGGCATAGAAATAAACTAAAACAATATTTTTATCACCCAATCCCATTACAACCTACGGGCATATAACTAGTTCGGTCTAAAATTTAACGTTATGGAGAAGGCTAAGTTAACTAATAAATTATTACTGGTAGTCCATTTCTGGCATGGGCTAGGAAATAGCCCATGCTAAAAGAGTCATGGAAACAGAATGGAGGAGAAAGTTCACTTTGACTCCTTCAAAACATTAGGTTGGATCTTATTCGTATCCTTCAATTCAATCATAAAACAAGGTATAATGATTCCTCTAACTATTGAAACCGACACAAAATGACTAGGTGATATTTGACGTGACAATCTATTAATCATAGAAATAGAGTGGGGCCCATGTATCATACCCTCTCCTTCCTTTCTCTCCAACATAACTCCTCTTATTGGCAGTAGGGTGATGGCAGGGATGCAGCAGGGTGGCCGGTGCGCGGAGGTTGAGGAGAGGCAACATGGCAGTGATGGGGGCGACAACAGGGTAGCTCACAAATCGGCGACAAAGGGGTTGAGGTGGAGCGTGCTCCGGTGGGGAGTGGCGGTGGCAGCGACGGGGAGCGGCCGTGTGCTCGCGCGGCGCGGCGACGGCGGTGGGGAGCGGCGGTGGCGGCAGCGGGGAGCGGCTGCGTGCTTGCGCGGCGCGGCGGCGATAGCAGCGGTGGCGGTGGCGGAAACCTCTTTGGCCTCGCCACGGCCTCCTCCTTGGAGCTCGTCGCCAGGAACGTGAGCCACCTTCTTCTACTGGGTCGCCTTCTCGTCGCTGTCGTCATCGACCCCCCACTCCCTCCGCGCCAACTGCCTCCTCGTCCGCCTCCTCTCCTGCGCTGCCCTCATCGGAGCTCGAGCTATGGCGGCGGTTTCACCTGCATCCTGAGGATCCAGGCCTCGGGCTGCGGCCGGGTCTGCGTGACCCTAGATGATCTCAGATGCTTGGGCTTCATGGCGACAACGGTGAGTGGGAGACGGAGTCCCGGAGGCGCCCCGCCGCCGGTGAGCCTAGATGGCCCCAGCACATCCTCGATGTCCTCCATCTCCATCTCTGGCTGCTGCTGCGGAGGCGACGGTGCGCCAAGGCGAGTGGTGGGCTGGTCATTGGTGGCTTCCCCGACCGAGTAGGGTTTGGGAAAAAGTATACTTTCCCACAATACTTTTTTTTGTGTGAATAACATATGGGTCTCACATATTTTTTTATTTTTGTTTTCATTCTATTGACACGTAAGCGCCACGTAGGACAAAGACTTGGTCAAGACTGCCACCTCAGCCAAAACCACCTCCAAAACCATCGAGGGACATTGTTTGCACCAGTTTTGATAGTTGGAGGAGTCGATGAACCCGGTTTTGTGGTTGGAGGATATGAATCTTACTCGGGCGATACTTGAGCGAGTCAAAGTATACCTTTTCCTTCCCATTTTACTTGTTAAGCTAAGCCCATCAATCACTCTGTAATTCATTCCCCCTCTCTCCACTCCACCATGTTACCTTCTAAGTTTCAAACAGTATACGCTCCTCTATATCGCCGCCGTCACCGGCAGCGGCCGACGGCCGTGAATTGGACCAGCTAGCTGGTGGAGTTGACACCATAAATTCCCGCCGGTTTTCACAAGAGCGCCATGGCGGACGTGCTCCGGCGAGAGGCAGGCGGCGTCACCACAATCATCTTGGTGTGCTCCACGGTGGCGGCGGCAGCGGCGGCGGCTGGGACGCTGGCGGTGGCTGACGCGGGCGCTGCGGCTGGCGGTGGCGTGGGAGGCGGCGCTCGACGCCAACCTCGTCAAGCAGAAGTGCGCACTCCGCCAGGCGGAGCGCACACTATTCAGAGAAAAGTGTTGAACCAACTAGGAGCAACAATTGAATTGGCAGGGGATGGAGCTAAGGCTGTGGATATATTCAAAGATGCTATTGAGAGAGTAAGTGTTTCAGGAGAGCATAATGTGCCATTGCCCTATGATGTCATATTCATGGATTGCCAGGTTTGTTTCTCCTTCTAGTTGTTAGGAAACGATAAGCGAACAAACGATAAAGAACAATAGATCAATCACAGAAGACACGAGATTTAACGTGGAAAACCCTCCCAAAACAGGAGAGAAAAAACCACGGGTGCCAGCCAGCAAAATATCTTCACTATATCTAGGGTGAGGTTACATCACCGCACGGCGGCTTACAAGAGGTATATATATGGTTGAACCCTAAAAGGGATGACGATCCGTTTCGCGGGGGCTCCGCCCCCGCACCCCCCCGGGCGTCCCCAGGTGCACGATCCATCCTTTACCCTGAACACAACAAAGACAAAAACACTTTCGGCGCCAAATAGCCTCTTGGGCTAAACCACTATACCAACTAAGCTTGAGCAAAGCTCAAACTTAGCAACAGGAACATGCTTTGTCATCATATCAACAGGATTATCATGAGTACTTATCTTGCATACCTTCAGCTTACCTTGCGCGACTACATCGCGAACATAATGGTACTTGATATCAATGTGCTTTGTCCTCTCATGAAACATCTGATCTTTAGTAAGGCATATAGCACTTTGACTGTCACAAAACAAGTTAATGCAAGAATAAACTCCACAAAGCTCAGCAAACAATCCTTTCAACCAAACTGATTCTTTACATGCTTCAGCAATAGCCATGTATTCTGCTTCAGTGGTAGACTGGGCAACAACATGCCGCAATGTTGCCTTCCAACTCACAGCACAACTACCAATGGTAAACACATAACCTGTGAGTGACCTTCTCTTATCTAAATCTGCAGCAAAATCAGAATCCACATATCCAATAAGCCCCTTATTAGTCCTGCCAAACTTCAAGCAAGCATTAGCTGTGTCTCTGAGGTACCTGAAAATCCACTGAATAGCTTTCCAGTGTTCTTTACCAGGATTAGCCATGTATCTACTAACCAAACTCATAGCATGAGATAAATCTAGACGGGAGCAAACCATGGCATACATCAAAGAACCAACAACACTAGAATATGGAACTCTAGACATGTATTCTACATCCTCATCAGTACTAGCACATTGTAAAGCTGATAATTTAAAATGAGGTGCAATATGAGTACTAACAGGCTTTGTATCATGCATGTTAAAACGCTGAAGAACCTTCTTAATGTAGCTTTGCTGACTAAGAAATAACCAACCGGAATTTCTGTCTCTAGTGATTTCCATACCTAGAATTTTCTTAGCAGCATCAAGATCCTTCATATCAAACTCACTACTCAACTGTTTCTTCAATGTAGTGATTTGTTCCTTGCTCTTGGCAGCAATCAGCATATCATCAACATATAACAGCAAGTATATAGGTGACACATTAACAAATTTAATATACACACAGCTATCAAATTCAGATCTCTTGAAGCCATGTGACAACATAAATGAATCAAACCTTTTATACCATTGACGAGGAGACTGTTTCAAACCATACAAAGATCTTTTCAACTTGCAAACATAATCCTCCTTACCAGGCACTATGAACCCTTCTGGCTGGTCCATGTATATCTCCTCCTCAAGCTCTCCATGTAAAAATGCTGTCTTCACATCTAACTGCTCAAGCTCAAGATCATGCATAGCAACAATACTGAAGAATGTGCGAATTGAACTATGCTTTACAACTAGAGAGAACACATCATTATAATCAACACCAGCAATTTGACTAAAACCTTTTGCTACTAAACTTGCCTTAAACCTCGGAGGGTCGCTAGGAGATAAACCCTCCTTTCTCTTGAAGATCTATTTACAATGAACAGGCTTCTTCTGTTTTGGCAAGTGCACAAGCTCCCATGTGTCATTCTTCTCAAGAGACTGCATCTCCTCCTGCATAGCTGAGATCCACTTCTCACGGTCTCCAGAAACAACAACTTCAGTGTATGTGGCTAGCTCAAGAGTATTCTCCACCTGTTCAGCACAAATAAAAGCATAATAAACCATATCACATTCCTCAATAAGGCGGACTGGAGCTCCACAACTCCTCTTTGTTCTGCGATGTGCAATAGGTTCATCTTGTGGCTGCAAAACAGGAGGTGAGTGCTGAACAGTATCATTAACATCATTACCAACAATTTCAGTTTTCTGATCATCCACGTGCTCCACCTGCACGCTAACATATTGCTGCTCCTCATCAAAACCACCTGGTATGACATCTGTGGGCAAGCTGTCATTAAACATAACAGATTCATTGAAAACAACACTCCTGCTCATGAATGTCTTATTAGTTTCAGGATTCCATAACTTATATCCTTTTACTCCTGAACCATAACCAAGAAACAGACACTTAATAGCTCTAGGCTCTAATTTTCCATTATTAACATGAGCATAAGCAGTGCATCCAAAAACTCTCAACTGTGAATAATTAGCAGGCATACCAGACCATACCTCAATGGGAGTTTTCTTATTAAGTGAGATAGAAGGCGACCTGTTGATCAAGTAGCAGGCGGTTTTAGCAGCCTCTGCCCAAAAACGTTTGTTCATGCGGGCGTTGGACAGCATACAACGAGCCTTGGAGATGATGGTTCTGTTCATGCGCTCAGCCACACCATTCTGCTGTGGAGTGTACGGGATGGTGTGATGCATAACGATGCCTTCCTTCCTACAATAATCATCAAAAGCATCCGAACAAAATCCACCACCATTGTCAGTGCGAAGTACTTTTACCTCCTTTTCAGTTTGCCTTTTTATCATGA